CCCCCTCACATGCATGTTTGCTCTCTCTCTGTCTAAAAAAGAAATAAATACAATAATAATAATGATAGCCATCGAAATATCTAAAAAAAAAATAAAGTCTCTGTCTCCAAATACAGTCACAATCTGAGGTACTGGAGGTTAGGACTTCAACATATGAATTTTTGGGGGAGAGGGGTATACAGTTCAGCTCATAACACTATCTCACAGGGCTATTATGAAGACTGAATGAGATAATACATGCAAAGCAAAGATCAGGAGACCTAGAATGTTGTAAGAGCTTATCAAACATTTGACGTAATTGAACACTAAATTTGGGCATAAGGGTAACCAGCAAATTATCTTTTTTCAGTGGGATATTGGCTGGAAGTGCCCTGGGGGCTTCTCTTCTCATCCAGGTGCTCAGTCCAGCATCATCCTTGCCTTATGGTCTAGTCCCCATTTTGTTCCCACAACTGTTCCATTCTAGTCTGGCCCCTCCCTGGGGTCAAAGAGAAGTTCTTTCTGTAGAGCGTTTTCAATCTTTCTTTCTCTAACTGCTCCAAGGTTAGTTTTTAAAACAAGGAGACATTCTGTGCCACCTACTCACAGCTCAGCAAGTGCTTTTCCAATACTGCTGCTATTTCTAATCCTTGGGCAAGCCACTTATTAAAATTTAATGACAATCACTTACATTTATAAAGCCATGTTCAATTTACAAAGCTCCTTTCCATCCATTATCTCTTTTAATTCTCACAACATCTGTAGGTAGGAAGTATGTTTTTCTCCGTTTTACAAAGGAAGAAAATAAGGCTCTGAGGAGTAGCATTATCATCCAGTGGCAGAGATGGGCCTCAAATTCTGGCTTTTTAATCCATTATGGCAGGTGTAGCTCACCTATTCAGGCATTCTTCTACAATATAAACAATCCATTAAACTAGCCCTGCTCTCTTTTGGGAGATGTAAAGTTATTTAGGACTGTTTTGATTGGAAGCAACAAAACCCCAACTCAAACTGGCTTAAGCAAAACCTGAAGGTATTGGCTCACCAAACAGAACAATCCAGAAGCAGATCTTCAGGCATGGATGGATCCAGGTGTTCAAACTATGTCATCAGAACTATCTCTCCTTTTCGTACTTTCCTATGTGTTCACATTATTATTAGACAAATTCTCTGCTTAGGGTGTCAAAGATGGCCCCCAGTAGCTGAAGCTTACCCTTCCTTCAGCTCAACAAACTCAACAGAGAGACAACACCTCTTTCTTGAAAACTTAACAAATGACCTAGATATCAATCTCACCTATTTGGGTTGGTTTATGGGCCCACCCCTGAACCAATCATTGTGTTTAGAACAATGGAGTATTCTCATTGTCCAGGCCTGATCATTTGCCCCACTCTGGGGAAGAGTATAATGGTGATGGTGGGGTGAATCTCACCAAACACAGGGACTGAGTGAGGGGGAAAGAAGTACCAATGTCAGAGGTGGTATGGGTGGTTGGCAGATCTCTACAGGGTGGCCTTGCTCTGCAGAGCTAGAATATATGTGCTGCCGAAGCGAGCACACCTGCAGAGCTAGAATAGAGCAACCAAGTGAGGAACTAAGGGCCTAACTTTGCAAGAATCCCAGTTCTTCCCTTAAGAGAGTGGTAAGTGGACTTCTGTGTTGTTTCCCCCCCCCCTGGACTGCCTGGTTTGGCAGAGCAGGATAGAAAAAAAAAAGGTGATAATTCATGGCAGAGTAAGGAGAAAAGATGGAGCTTCTGGCTCCAGTAACTTATGTTCAGAATAGTACCCAAACCAGGAGCATCCACAGGAGACTTTGAGGATGACCCCTTCCCTGATCCCTCCTCCCAGGACCACATGAAGTTGTGAGCTCAGGAGGAGAGGGACCACATCTGTTTTACCCACCATCTCATCCCAGCTCTAGCACAGTGTTGTGCTGGCACATTACAGGAGACTTTATTTAGTGCACGGATGCACAAATAAATTAGGTGTATCAAGTCTAATTGGCAGGATTAATCCATCTCTTTGTTCAAGTCAGTCCCCTCTTTGGCCTCTGTTCTCCAACTGCTAAGGGGGGGGGGAGGTGTAGCCCCTTGATTCCAGGATCTTAGCATTCTCAGGAAACAGCCAGGTTGCCCCCTGCAAGGAGCCAATGGAAGGGGAAACCAAACTTATTGAGCGCTCTGTACTCGGATGAGACGACTTCACATGGGTCTGAGTTGCCCAAATTGTGGAGCTCATTTCATGAGCCTTATAATTTTGTTTTAAAATTTGAGATGGAGAGATGGCTGCATAGTAGGAAGAACCTTGGCTTGTCCTTCAAACAAAACTAGGTAACTATCAAATCATTCTGAGTACCCAAGAAATCAACCTGAGGACTGACAGAACAAACTCCACAGCTAGAGGAAAAGAAGAGGCCACATTAAGGAAGGGAATTTATAGGGAAATATGTGCTTTATGGAATAAATCCAAAGAACTAAAATACATTTTATTTTAAATAAAAATGGACATTTAATCTTACACAACGAAATTACTGATTATACACTTAATGAGGTGACTTAAGGGTTCATAAAATTGTATCAAGAGTTTTATTTTTTGACCTCAAAGCCTTCTTAATAGTCTTTTTACTAAAAAATAAAATAAAATAAAATAAAATAAAATTTGGGATGGAAATAACACTGCCTATGTTTTATTGTGCCCAAACGAGGACATTAAAAACAAAACAAAACAAAAAAACCCTATCATCAAACAAACTTTACTAAAAAAAAAAATTAACTATCATCAACACTTCTTTAAAAATGAATTTTTACACTAAGAAAGCAGGAAGTATACAATCTCAGGAAAAAAAAGAACAGTGCCTCTCCCCCCGGAAAAGACATTTGGCAACTTTATATGATTATTTTTTTCTGAAGGTAGATGCAAATTTCATCAGACTGGCCCCTGTGTAGGGTTCAGTATTTGGAACCTACTAACAGATTATTTTTCAACCCCACTCGTTGCCTCCACGTGCCTGTGAAATGGGGCTTAATCTGCTCACTTTGCAGATGGGGAAACAAAGGTTCAGAGAGCCCCAGTGCAAGGTCACAGAGGTAGTAAATAGTAGTCAGAGTTTGTCTGGATGCCAACCCTGACCATGTTGGCTGATCCTAAGTCAAAAGTTACTCCCCTTCAGGGAAAGAAATGACCCACATTGGCTCCCTTGGAGTGCCCCCAGGGTGTTCTTGGGCCTGACCTTGAGCCTGGACTTGGACGCTTTGTTCTTTAACACATCTTAATCATGTGCTCACTTCGTGCCAGGCACTCCGGAGAGTGTAGGGAGGGAAACCAGCATGTTCCCAGCCTCCTTCCCTCTTGTCCCGCATACTCACCCTGGGTCTTGTTCTCCAGGCCCAGCTCCTTCCGCTGGTGGCCAACGAATCCCTATCGCGGGCGTGGGATGCTAACAGTTTAGAGGGTTCCCTCTCCCAGGGGTGTTGGCAGTTTCCAAGGAGACTCTGGACCCAAAGACCCAAAGGGCTGGAAGCGTAATGGTGCAACCTGAGGCATTGTGTTAGGCTGTAGGGAAGATAATTTGGGAGCAAGAGATCAGTTCAAACCCTATCAAATAATACTCCGTTTGGTCCCTCCCCCATTCCCATGGGCTCTGCGGGGACCCACAAACCCCGCAGCTCAGGCTGGAAGAAGGGGGTCCCCCAAGTCAGAGGGCCCTACTGTGTAAGGGGCTTATTGCTCCGGCTGGGGGACCCCTGGGACCGTGCCCACCCCTTCCCCTGACTGCCAGAACCTGGAGCGCCCCTCCCCCGTTCCGCCCCGCCCCGCCCCGCACGCCCGCGGCGGGAGCGCGCCTCCGACGATCCGCGCCGGTGCACGAGAGCGCGCGCCTCGGCGCGGGAGCGCGCCCCGGGGAGAACCCGAGCAAGATGGAGGCCGCGCCGAGGCCGCCTCCTGGGCCGAGGCAGCAGCTGCTGGGAGCGCCGAGCCGGGGCGCCTAGGCCGTGCCAGCCCCGGACCCACTGCTCTGGACCGGGCCCAGGTTGGTCTCCCCGC